AAGGAGGCAACCTGATAATATGGGAAGTCCCTAGTCCTTCACAACAGGTGAAAAACCTTACAATAGAAAATAGGCAAGTTAATCTAAATGGAATGAACCAAGAAAAAAAATGTATATACAATAGTACATTTAGTGTTGTCAAGTTTAATTCTAAACTGGATGCGTTTAATTTTTAAACAAACATTTAATTCTATGAAAAAATATAGGTAATGTATAAAAGTTTCTTAATTCTTTAGGTAAAGGCTTTTATCTAAACTGAACATTTAACTTTTTTTTATTAAACTTAACTAATGTTTGAGGTGGATTTAGGTTTCCAACTAATTTCAACAAAACCAGGTGGAATAATAATTTAGCATTTTTATCTTAATTATGTATTTTAAGGCCATACACATTTAAACCTTTACCAAGAAGACGGCATTTTAACTTCTAATAATTACCCAGTGGAAAACTTTGGATAAAGCGTTTGCCGAATTCATAAACATAAAACAACACCAAGTAAAAGTTCCACAGAGTGCATTTAATAAATTAAAAGTGAGCTTACCGATAGCCCTTTCAAAATCAAAGCACTATTTTCCTCACAGTCTTCGTGCCTTTTTTATATCCGCCATCTGTTCAGCTTTCAGCTCATCGGCGGAAAACTGGCCTGCTCTGCATCCATGGCCTTTAAAATCGAGCTGCTGATTGTCGCGATTGAGCACACCTGGTGGAGCGCTCGAGGCTCGCGCGTGCGCGGGCCGTCCGCGGCCACGTGCAAGATGGCACGCAGATGCACAAAGATAAGCAGAGTCGCCGCGGAAATGTGGTCATCACAGGACGTCGTATCATCTTAATGTGTATCAGATGACGATGTAATTTGTACTGTGTATCTGTAAATTGTTAACATATCCCTCTATCAAGTGCCTGTACAAATGTTATTGAAAATCAGTCATCAAATCCCTTAAAAACACAGATTTCAGTTAAATTGAATTAAATCATTGACCAATATCAAGTCATCTGTAATTAGTCTGCAATTTGGTCAAAATACGAAAAAGGTATATCAGTGGCTGATCTTTCAGTGGCTGATTAATTTTTATTCTAAATTGATTTAGGTTACATCGCATAGCGCATTCAAGACGTAAGGTTGCCAAAACTCTGACTCAGTCAGCAACCACTCCAGGATTAAAAATTATGAACAACTTAAAAGTCAAACGACTGATCAACGCACACTGTATCATTCAACCAAACCCGGAAGGAATTCATACCAATTGCCAGATCTCCTACCAAAGTGTTTTTCCCCTTTATTTGTTGGAGACGCTATTAGCATGTACACAATATACATTACAAGATAAATCCTAAATATACACCTTTAAATACCCTATTTAAATCACCAAGTCTTTTTTCTCCAAGCAGGTAACCCAAACAAAGCCAGGACATATAAGACAGAGGTTATACCTTCAAATGGCTGTAGATTAAGTTTTTAAGTGCGTTTGTTAGGATTTTTTTTCATTGTTATTATTCTGTTTTTGTGTAGTTTTTTTTTTCCCTTTAGGTGAGAAAAATGCCAGTGAGTTAATCTGTAAGCAAGTTCATTCGTTGGTTCAAATAAAGTTTGTGCATTGTGTTTGCTTGTTTTTTTATTGAAAGCTGAATTGATGTTATTTGCAGAAAAACTACCCTGTAATTTTGTTTGCATACTTAATCTTCAATTATAAATTGGTGTAATTTGTGAGGAAAGTGTGATACACACGGTCTTTTGATTGTATGATGTGGAGTAAACCAGCAGCTTTTATTAGCCTTGAAACAGCATTATGTAACACAGTCTTTAAGTATCTGAAGTGATTCCACTGCTAAAGTATTAACGGCGAGTTAGGTCTTCAGCTGTTTCTCTTCATTGATTCTCCCAGCTATTTATCTTCTGTTGTATTGGCTTGTGACCTCAGTCTACTTCAAGAGAAGTTTAGCTATGTAAATGGACCAAGAAAACTCCTTCACCGCTGATAGTCCTGAGTGTCTCAGTAAGATTTTGGAGCACACCTTCACCTCTAAAGTGCATGCTTGTGAGTATGAGAGGATAATCATACAAGAAGATGTCGTGAAAAAAAACAGCTTTGAAGGGTCTTAGATCTCAGTCAGTTCTCACATAATGCACAGAACACTTATCTATGAACAGCAGGTTTTGAGCACTTTGGTTTGAAAGGAAAAACATTAAACTTTTGTGGCTTCTTCGGTTCAAAGTCAAAGAGAGAATGTCAGGATGATTTCTGATGCAGGATTTGTTTGAGAAAGTAGAAATGAGCTCCCACAGAATGCAGTAGTGGACATAAATGTATACACTAATCCAGATGTCATTTGTTTAGTACATATTTATATATTTGAAGTTTTTAAAAATAATTATTACTTGTATTATGCTCATGTCTATACTATAAACATCAAAGACAGAATATGATACTCTCTCAGTGGCAATCATTGCAAGGGCAGCATGCAAATGACCCCAGAACCTCCCAGTGCTTGAATGTCAGACTTTTGTCAGAATCCAGAGATCCAGCTGATGCCTGTACTCTCAAAAAGGAAATGCACCAAATGATATCGTTATTGTTCAGAGGCTCACTGGGGTGGGACCTACAAGGTGCTTCTTGTTAGTTTATTGCAAGTTTATTTGTACAGCACATTTAATGGGAACATACATGTACCTTTCAGGGCCTCTCAAAGTACATATCACATAATATGTGTCTTGGGGTCCAGTAATAGGCCACATTAATCAAGGAAGTTCCTTAGGAGACATATTATACTCTTATTACGCCACTATTTTTAACAGTGTGGTTGTGTGCTTGTTCAGTGACTAAAGCTAACTTGTAGAAATCTTAGTATCTGATGCTCATATTTCTCTCCAGTTCTGTGTCCTCCTGTGAAGTATTTGAATAAAAGACTGCCACTACTGAGCTGACCCATGCATCAGTGAAGCCATCGAAGCATGCTTGAAAAACACACATTCAATAAAAGTGCAGTGAATGTCGCTCATATTGCCCCTGCTGATGGCTGTCTTTGCTTTGGAATCAAAAGACATGATGGTTTTAAACGCGTCTCATAAAGAAAGCCGCTCACTAGTTGGACAGATTTATGCGCCTCGTCAGTAAAGCCACAATATTTCTTGACTGTTTCTGGCACTTTTGTAAGCTATATTATCCTAAATCAGAGCAGGAATTAGCTGTTCACATGTCAGATCGCAAGGAAAAATCTTTTCTTTCATCGTCGACAATTCAGTTTCACACAAAATTGAGACATATAACAGCTGTCATTCTACACTCCTATCACACCACCCGCCTGACTTGCCTGACACCTCCCTTACAAGAATAAACAGTGTTTGACGTGTGCACATTAAAGATGACCTTTACATCAGAAGTGATCACTGCAGTCTCTCCCGCCTCACATCTTTCCATCCCCATCTCCCAGGCTTAAAACACGAGGCGCAAGCAGATTCAGGACTGCTTCCTTACCTTGTTCTGAAGTTAGCCGGGTGTGGATGCCCATCATACAAAGATAAAAAGTCATATTCCTCCTCCACAGCAAAAGACTGAAAAACTATATGAATCCTGTTCCCCTCCTCGGCAACAATCACCCAGGTACAGTTTGCTCCATTTGGATATCCGTACGGAAACCCCGGGCTTTCTATTGTCCCATTCCTCCCTTTTAATGTTCCTCCACAAGTATGGATAAAACCTGAAGAGAGAGAGAGAGAGACATCAAACATTAGGACACAACACAATGTACATAATGCACAACATATGTCTGTGTATGGGACATGACAATATATTTCATTTTGAAAAATATTGTGTGGTGCAAACATTTGAGCAGCCATACATAAAATGAATAGAATTTTCGACAGTCCTTTGCTAATTCTTCAGCTGTGTGCAACCGTGTAAAGTTCAAGCTCAATTTTCTTTCAAAGTGAGAACTAATTAATTGCTAAATCCACATTGCTGTCAGCTGGCAGAAGTTATGAGGGAAGTCTGGCAACCAGCTGACAACGTAAATGTATTTCGATTTACATTTTTTGTTCCCTTTTGAATTAACAGGAAACGACAGAACACCTGCTGTTGTAGTGATGGGAGAAACATGCAAAATTATTTATTAATGCAAGTTATAAAAACTGAAAAAGATCTCTCTCTTTTCCTTTTATGTTTCATGAAACAAAAAAGCTTGCGATGTATTGTATCATCTGTTGTTTTTTGTTTGTTTGTTTTTTTGTCAGAAAGCCCAAAAGTCTTCCAATCTCTATCAACCATTGGCCCACAGAAAATATCTGTCAAACTGTATGGATGTGATTGCTTAACAAACTGTTGTGGCATGATGTAAAAAAAGAATATAAATAAAATAACACTTCCCTTCCTACTTCCACTTCCAGTTTAATGCAGTACTTATACTAACAATACATTAATATGCTCCCACACACATCACTTTTCAGTGCAGAAATTATTTTTTTTCTATATGAGACTATCTCGCATGTTGTCTAATGAAATGCAATCTTAATTGAGATGCATGGTTTACCCTACACGGTTTGCTCCAAGTGTAATTAGTTTTTCACACTTGGTAGGTAAAGGATGTTTTGCATAAAGCTGGCCAAACTCTGCTTTATTGAGTGGTGGGGATGTGGCTCAGGGATGCAATTCCAATGACGCCGAAGATATTCGAATTTCTGTCTAAATTATGTGTTTGCTTTATTGTAAGATTATGTGAAAATAGCATCCAAAAGTTAAGCGCCAAGATAAACTGACAAGTTCCTACTTACATCAATATTTTGAAAAAGCATCTTTTTTATTTTTAAATATATTGTCTTATACAATCGTCCAATCCAATACATTAGTCCTGACATAACAGAGCTCGCGTTCTGTAGCATGCAGTCAAACAAAACTTGGCTAAATTTCCATGGGAAAAACAGGGAATTCGCAATTCTACATCTGATGTATTTTCTGGTGATACACTCCTGTTCTGGGATAAATTCTCTTCAAGGGCTGCTGCATGTCTAAGTTGCAATTATTTCCACCACTACAGAGCAAACAGGGTAATCATGGTAAATTTGCACCATTGATGCACCGCCTACAGGGTCAACACGATCCAACCTGTGACACACTGCATTATGGTTGCATTCAAGTGCTCTCTGAAATATTGTAATTATCTGAGCAAGCCTCATCAATCATGGTCCTTTTTTTGGCTGCAAGTGGAAAAAAGTGATTTTCTGAGGATATGTCCAAAACTGCAGTTTGACAGCATGACATCTGTGTTTTAAGGTGACTTTCTTTGGATCAAGGAAAGAAATTAAATTTTAATGTTTTTTTTTTGTTTTTTTTAAATTAATTAATAACCTACACTCAATGACAAAATTGTAGCTTAAAACAGTGTCAACAAAATATGTTATTTCCATATGCATATGTTTTCAGCTTAAGTAACTATACTGATCTGGAAATGAAAAAAGTCTTTCCTTTTGCCAACATGCCTAGCAAACCAGTTAACTTTCTGTATTGCATGCCCTCAATCTAGTTTATAAACCAGTTAGAATTAATTGAGATAATATAAACATTTTTGTGCAAACTGAATAGCACGACTTTTGATTAATACATCGAAAATGACTTTCTCATCTAGCCATGCCCGCCCCATCTACCAGCTCATAACAAGATCAAATTGTATCATGCAGTTTCAATAAATGAAAAATAAATCCCCCCCACCCCGAAAAAAAAAAAAGAAGAAAACTCAATACAGGGGGAAAATTTGGATGGTGTAAGCTGTGTAAATTTGGTCGAGACATCACATACAGGTTTTTAAAGTTTATTTTTTCATTTTACAATCATTAAAGGGGCGTTTGGATCAACATTAAATTGTTCTAATGTATGAACAGAACAAAGCAATATTATCTGTAGTTTTCTAATACACTAAATGTGTAATTCTGCTTACTTTTGTTAACAGGTCATAAGGTTGGAAACTTGGAAACTGCTCCAGTTCTAATTCATATGATGAAACCTAATTTGCAAGAATTCCCCTCGATGCAAATAAAGAAAGAAACAGACAAACTGAAAAATACAACTACACATTTAAAAACAAACAACAAGATATCAGTTTCTTTATAACCCTAATAAGACTTCTGGTCTCAGCCCTAACACTCTAAAAGTCGAGTGCATCTAATAAATTACATGGTGATGTGAAATCCCTCAAGTTTTCCTATTTCGGACGCTGTCTGTTGGAGTTAGTCATGTTGGATGTCATATAGCTGAAGTGATCCTTGTAAAAATTACAAACCAGCTGCTGCACACTTGAACCATTTACGCAATGTACAGGGCTAAAAGTCAAGAATTGCTTGGTTTTAGATTAGATTTTTCTGTATAGCTCTCATGTTATAAGATTATTGATCACCATAACACCTACACAACTCCGATCCATACTGACATTTAGGACAGTACTTTGTACTTTTTAAAATGACTCATTATGAAATTCTACAAGGTACTGCCCATCCAAGGAGAGAATAGGCATGTGAGTGCTTCCACATCACAGCAAGGGTAGAGGCCATTCTTAGGTCTGTCACTTACCAAGTCAGACAGTCTTCGAATGGAGTTGAGGTGGAAGATTCTGTGTGATTCTGCTGTTAGGCAGCAGTCTCGGCATGAAAAAAATTCATTGTCTCTCCCTTTACTTTTTTGCTTTTAAAAGCGAATCATGTTAAGATTCATGATACATTATTTTGACACTGCAACCATCACAACAAAGATGACTTACACTGCTTCGGTTACAAAAATCATACTATGGCCCCATTTCCTCAAAATGGTCTTTTTTTAACTCAAACCTGACAGTCAGGGGCACTATTTTTACTCTTCACAGGCAGATACTCTCACAGTCACAAGATCTCTCTTATTCTTTAAAGCTAAATCTAGTCCACACCTTTTTTCATGATTAAACGCCACATGGACACTTTTTTAGGGAGAAAGACAGTATAAATGTTCCGTGTTTAGCACATAAAAGATGACACATTTAAAAAATATTTATTGTAATACAGTTTGAATAATCTTCTTAGCAATGGTAGGATGGCTGATTATTCTGATATCCAAAAGATGATTGAAGTGCTCACTGGTAAGCTTCAACCACCTTTTTCTCCCTCAGACCTTTGTATTCCTCTCATCTTTCATCATCTCTCTCTCAATCTCACAGCTGTCTCACATCAGCTACATTTCTCACTTCTTAACCTCTGTCTGTCTCGCTCAGCCTTCATTGCACTGCAGCCATGCACCCTCCTTCTCCTCCTCCAAATTCACCATCTTTTACCTGATCTGTTTTTTTTCTCAGCAATTCATCATGAATTAGAATCCACCTTTTTCAATGCTGTGAATCATTCAAGCTTCTAATATGTTAAGCACTATCAGCTCCATAAAAGCTGCATGTGTAAAAAGAACGCTGTAAACATTCATCTTGTTCCTTCAAAGGGAAAATGTGAAAATATAACATGTACCCTTGTACGGGGGGGAGAATATGCCTTTAATTCATTTGTCACATAGATCCTCACTATGCCTTCTTTGAATTCCACTGTCACTAATCAGTTGCCCGCTCTGACCTCTATCATCACTTCAGTCGTGAAACATAGTCCCAGGAGTCTTTTCTGACCCGATGTTATTGCCACGCAGCAACACTGTCCATAAATTGTAATGAGAAACCAAATTAACAACATGCTGTGATTGCACAGTGGGGGGAATGCAGTTCAGAGAAATAAATCGGTATTATTTGAAAAAAAGTCTTGCAAAGACAAAGGCCTCAGCAGGCGGTTGGTCTGCTAGACAGACATCTCAAGAGTGGTCCCAGCTGTTCTGCAAACACTTCCATTCAGCCACAGCCATTTGGATAGATACAGAAGTAAATTTTTATTTGTCATTTTCTGATAACAGACCAGTGTGCACAACATAGACAGAAAATGGCAGTCACCCACTCTGGCGAGCTCTCATAGGGTCTTTATGGATCTGCCTTTACATACATGTTTATAATTATATTCTTTCATGCTGTTGACCTCACTGACAGGGTCAGGAAATTCTATTGCAGCAGGTGACACAAAAGTACTTTATGTACGTTTTGTAAGTTAAATTTCTGCTGTGAATATGGACTACCAAAGCGCTATGAGGATGGAGCATAAGATAGATTTTTTTAAAGCAATATGCTTTTTTCATAATATACGCAAACAAAATTTTCACGAAATACAGCAGCTACTTAAAGTTTACTGCAAGCAGAAAAAAGGAGGAATATCTTTACAAAAAAGGGTAGTTGCTGTCTAAGCATGCCAACTGCAAATATGTAGTCCACCATTACTCGTAAATTTGTATTGGGTTATACAGTGGTAACAGTCCGATGCACAGAACAGAAGGGCAGGTAATATGAATTTAGATAAATAATGATTTTATATTTAGTACGAATGACAAAACAACCTCTTTTTCTTCTTTAAAATTGAATTCTTACTTGAAATGTATTTGCTTAGAAATAAAAGTTACAGTTTAACCAGCTCCAATCAGGTATCTGCTTTACTGCTGTAAAGACCAATGTTCCCCATGCGATGACATAGTTGAATTTGAATGAAAGACATCAACACTTGGTTTTAGAACATTTATTCTATTGCATTTGCTTTATGGTCCTTGAGGTGCATTAATCCTATCAACTGTCTGTATTTGTATTTAATCGATTGGCTCTTGTCTGGT